CTTGGCCATCCGTATGTCCTCTTTGGAGAAGTGTCTATTCAAATCCTTTGCCCATTTAATTGGGTTGTTTGTCTTCCTCTTGCTGAGTAATATGAGTTCTTTGTACACTTTGGAAATTAGCCCCTTATCAGATGCATCCTTGGCAAATATGTTTTCCCAGACCGTGGGGTTCCTTTGTATTTTGAGGCTGTTTTGTTGTGCAGAAGCTTTTTAGTTTGATGTAGTCCCATGTTTATTTTTCCCTTTGTTTCTCTTGCTCTAGGAGATGTATCAGTGAAAAGTCCACTACGTGGGATGTCTGTGACTTTACTGCCTATGTTTTCTTCCAGGATTTTTATGGTTTTGTGACTTACATTTAAGTCTTTTATCCATTTTGAGTTTATTTTTGTGTATGGTGAAAGTTGGTGGTCTAGTTTCATTCTTTTGCATGTATCTGTCCAAATTTCCCAGCACCACTTATTGAAAGGTATCCAAATTGGAAAGGAGGAAGTAAAACTGTCATTGTTTGCAGATGACATGATACTGTACATAGAAAACCCTAAAGACTCCATCAAAGTACTACTAGATTTGATAAACGAATTTGGCAAGGTAGCTGGATACAAAATCAGCATCCGGAAATCAATGGCATTCTTATACACCAACAATGAACTTTCAGAGAGAGAAACTAAAAAAGCAATACCATTTACCATTGCAACTAAAAAAATAAGATACCTAGGAATAAACTTAACCAAGGATGTAAAAGACCTGTACTCAGAAAACTTTGTGACACTGAAAAAAGAAATAGAGGAAGATTTAAACAAGTGGAAGAAGATACCATGCTCATGGATTAGAAGAATTAATATCATTAAAATGTCTATACTACCCAAAGCAATTTATAAATTTAATGTTATTCCTATGAAAATACCAACAGCATATTTCACAGACCTAGAACAAACATTTCGAAAATTTATATGGAACCAAAAAAGATCCTGAATAGCTGCAGCCATCTTGAGAAAAAAGAACGGAGCAGGAGGGATCACATTACAGGACTTCAAACTGTCTTACAAAGCCACTGTAATCAAAATGGCCTGGTATTGGTACAACAACAGGCATATAGATCAATGGAACAGAACAGAGACCCCAGAAATAGACCCACGTCATTATGGCCAGTTAATATTTGACAAAGGAGGCAAGAGTATCCAATGGAGTAAAAATATTTTTAACTAGCCTCTTCTGCAGAGAGGAAACAGGGCTATGAAGTACAAAGATGTAGTTGTTGAAGGAAAGAAGATGATTGGTTTTTGCTGTGTGTTTATGGGCTGAGAGACAGAGGACAATGAAAAATCCCTTGATCCACAACAATAATTATGAGCATTATTTTTATATGTTTTTAAATGACATTTTCTTTTAAGTTGGGTACTCAATTAGTAGAGAAAGGCTTAACCATTGGTTGAGTAGTTAAAGGTTCTGAATCCCATGGCAGTCTAAGGAGAAATGGCAGGAAACAAATATTTATTGAACATCTACTGTTTTCCAAGCATTTTGTAAAGAATTTTAGATATTTTTCTTTTCCTTTGAGTACTTATGGTAATTCTGTCAAAAAAAGGGGAAACTGCATTAGTGAGGTTATATTATTGCGATCATGCTGTTAGTGTACATATCACAGCCAGTATTAAATCCACTTAAGTGTGTTCCAAAGCTCAGGAGGGTGTTACTTTTTTATTTTAAAAGTGCTCCAGTGGCTTCTCATTTGCATGGAAGGGACCCTCTGGGACTTTGATTAAGAGCACATCTGGCATTATCTGCATATACAAAAATAATGTACCTGATAGATATATGTATGTCTATATTTCAAAAATATGGAGTCATTTTGGGATTTCCCATTAATAATTTATTTAAAAGCATTACAGCTACAATATAAACTCAACAAGACTGGGGATTTTGGTATACTCTTTGTGATGTAACTCAAGCACCTAGAACATAGCAGATGCTCAATTAATATTTGTGCATGCGAGTGAAACAATCGTTATAATTCTTTAAACACTGTGCTTAATTTGATCACCTTTCTGTTCATCGACATTTAGATTATTTTCATTTTTTCTTTCATAAACAATACTTATATATGCTACAAAGTCCTTATACATGTGTCTTTCCCCTTTGTAAAGAAATATTCTATTATTTAATTATGATAGATTCCTGGAAGAGGAGTTGCTGGGACGAAGGAACACGTGTTTTAGATTCTGATACAGTCTTTCTGCGCGTGCGTTGGTACATCTATCAATGACGGTACCTCTCAGAGCAGGTAAGATGATCTGTCTCATTGCAACCAGGCTGACTTTGGAGTCACCAGGCTTTTCACTCTTTAAAGGATCATTAAATTCCAAAATTTGGAAGGTTTATTGCTTTCTATAGTTTCTGTTTTCCCTCTTAGAAGCAAGGACAATGTAGTATGGCTCCCTTCTTTTTGGGTTAGAGAGTATGTGATATTATTCAATGAAATTAGTTGTTCTTTTTTAAACCCACGTTATGTTCTCTTTGCTATTCTATGCACTCCTGTTTGAATATATGGACCCTCTCTTGTCATTGCTAATTATATACCAAGGAAAGAAAAAACTAAGTCCAAAATTAGTTGTACATCGTCAGCACATGTGATGAAACCGTGGCTGCGTCTCTAAACCACATCTAACCGCGTGGGAATGACCTGCCACGGGAGCGCGTGGTCTCTTGGTCCAGGCTCAGCAGCCGGTGTGAACATAACAGACTCCAGAGTGGGTCAGATTGGCTGTTAAGGATGCAGAGAAGAAGCTACTGACCTTGATCTTTGCCCCATAAGCCTGTGTGGGATGGGAAAATCCACATGTGACCAACCAATCTTTCTGTTGGTAAATACCGTAAAGATCGCTGGCTTATTGCTGGGCTTTTCGTAGGTTTTCAGCAGAGGATTTAAAAAACTCACGGAAGCATGTGCTCAGCATTCTCTGAAACAATATCAGCAGCAGTACTGTATCTTATTCACACACAAAAATGGTGCAAACCTCTATATTTCTCTTTTTGTTTTGGTTACCAGGAAGTTTAGAAGCAAATGTGAATCTTAATAACTCATTTGTTCATTTATTCAGTAAATGTACTTGGACACCCTATTCCATGTCAGGCACTGTGAAAAGTGCTGGGGATTCTGAGCCCAAGGACAGTGTCAGCCTTCAGCAAAGTGGTTCGAGCTCCATCCCTGGAAGGAATGGTTTCGGGCCCCTTGCTCTGGATACTTGCCCTGGAAGGGGCGAGCCTCGTCTTTCCCTGGGAACGTAACCCGTCTCCACTAAACTTATTAGCACTAGAAAGGACGCGGCTCATTTTCCTCTCAGGTGTAGACAAAGGCTGCTGTTGTCTCAGGGTGAAGGGCTTTTGGTGACTTGATTAGCAGAGAGCCCGGCCTGCCCTGATTTTCAGATGGCGACCATCAGATATAATCTGCCGCCTCATTAGGTTGACACTGTTCCTGCCCCCTCTTGTAATAATGTCACTGGAGCACTTAATAATCTTAGGTAAATGCTGTAAGCATACTCTGCCAAGGTAACCCGAGGTCAGTGGCGACAGATGCTCCAAAAAGCAATTGTTTTCTCATTTTGTGCTCTGTTAAAATATAACAAGCAAAGTATAATAATTGGGCAAGTTTAAATATTAGAGAAGGAGCAGAACTTTCGGCAATTTAATTATTTTTAATCTCTGATTTGAACTTGCAGTATTTCAAGATCAAGGGGGACAATGAAATATATTGGATGATCGCCATGGACTTACAGAAGAGAGCTTATTTATTCTAGAGAAGAGAAGGTTAGAGAGGGGCCCTTAAGTATTTGAAGACATATAAGATGGACAGTATTTATGAACTCTTCTCCTTTTCCAGTGAAAACAGGAGAAATATGTCATATTGATTCAAGAAGGAGTTAGATTAGACTACACAAAGAACTTCCTGACTAGAGACTGGAAAAGTCCATGGATGGGGAGTGGAGTGGGTATATATGTATATTTATATACACACACACACAGTGTATGTACAAATATGCATATTTTGTCTTTTAATGGTAGGCAGTTATTTTCTTTCTTGGAATTGGATCCCAGAAATGATTTACTGGCCTGACACTAGGCTATGTGCTAATTCACAAAAGTGTATAACCGGCCCCCAGGGAACAATGTGGATGTGGCAGGAATTGGACGGGTTGTTTTATATTTAGTGGGTTACGAGACTGCGATGGGATAAGACAGTGGAGCATTTGGTTCTGTGCCATAGAGCTTATACAGTCTTCTCTTGGGATAGAGCTGGAGAGATGGGATGATGGATGAGCTTGTGACTCAAGGCTTGACAGGATGTGGGGCTCCCTAAAGAACTAAAGTGAGGCTGCCTTCTGAGCAGAAGTGTCTGGAAGTGACTGGGTGGAGAGACTTCTCTCTGTCCCTGTGATTCTCTGATACAGATTAGCGTCATTTCTCTGATAAGTGAGGCCTAGAGGAGGTAGGTGGGAGAAGTCTAATAGCTGCATTTGATAGGGATTGGGGTTGTCCCTCCAGGAGACAGGCCGCTGATCTGACTTAGCTAGATCTGGCTCGCACCTGCTGGGCCTTGAGGGCCAAGGTACCTCCCATAGGCTTAGATCAGCGATTTTCAACCTTTTTCATCTCATGGCACACATAAACTAATTACTAAAATTCTGTGGCATACCAAAAAAAATACTTATTTCCGAATCTGACAAAAAGTAGGTATAATTTTGATCGATTTACAAAAAATAATAATAGTAATTATTATTTACAAAGTAATTATTATTTATTAAAGTGAGCAAAAAGTCACTTTTTGCTCCAAAGTGACTTTTTAAAAAAATCAGATGCTTATACTTGTATATAAGGTTTCTGGTACCAAAATTAATCAATCAGGTGTAATCGTGTTATGTGACGTGACCAATAAGATGCAACTCTATTATATGACCTATATATTNATTAATCAATCAGGTGCAATTGTGTTATGTGATGTGACCAATAAGATGCAACTCTATTATATGACCTATATATTTATGGCTCAAGACAGGGCATTCACACCAGATGGCTATTGTTGTGTTGGCTGCTGTCATTTTTTAAATTATATAATCTAAGGAAAAAGAGGTCAGTGCCCCTGACTAAATTGTCATGTGTTGCACGTTTTAAAAATTCTTGCGGCACACCGCTGGCTTAGATCAAATCACTTCTTTTAACTTACCCTTGCTTTTAGAACACCTCTGTAGCACTGGACTTTTATTTCTCATACTGTCTGAAAAGAAGGTTTTCCCTGAATTTTATGATTGAATGACCAAGAAAATAAATGCTGACTCTGAACCTGTAACACGTTAGCCGGGTGAATGTTAACAAAACCCAGCATCATGGTACAATTTCTTGCTCCATTCTCGAGTCTGCTCTTTCTCCAGAGGGAACTTTTCTCCATTTTTCCCTACCTTTGATCATTGGTCAGGCAAAATGAAGAGAAAAAAGTGCAGTTTTAACAAAATAACCTTAACATTAGATGGAATTTGGCCAAAACATAAAGGAAAACTATGCTATTGATTTCCCATTTGCAAATTTTATTTAATTTATGAGGCAAACATTTATTTAGTGCCCACTGTATGCTCCCAAGTACTAGCGATGGTAGTGAACCCTGCCCGCATGGGGCTTACCTTCTAGCATGGGGAGCAAACAAATAAGCAAGGAAAACCATGTCAGGTAGTGAAAAGNATGAGGCAAACATTTATCTAGTGCCCACTGTATGCTCCCAGGTACTAGCGATGGTAGTGAACCCTGCCCGCATGGGGCTTACCTTCTAGCATGGGGAGCAAACAAATAAGCAAGGAAAACCATGTCAGGTAGTGAAAAGTGATGAAAAAATAAAATAAACCAGTGTAAGGAGGTGTAGAGGGACCAGGAGGGTAGTGCTGTTTTAGATTAGCTGGCTAGGTGAGGGCTCTCTGAGTAAGTGAGATTGGGGCAGAGGTCTGAGTGAATGCAGGGAGTAAGCCCTGTGACTGCCTGGTGGGGGCATATAGGAGGGGTGCTGGGGTGGTGAAGGGTGGAGCATTCTAGGAAACGGGTAGCACATGTGAGGTTCCTGAGGCTGGGCCGAAATGTGCTTGGTGTGCCCCTTTGGAACAGGGAGTGGGAGAGATGGGAGAGGTAGCCAGGATTCGCGGAGTTGGTTTGCCGTAAAAGGAAGCAGTCTTCCACTTGTTTGCAGTGTTTCTGCCCTGCAGCTTTTGACCGAGAACCTCTACGTGTCCCAGACGGGTAGAGAACCTCTTGAAAACCTTGTTGAACGTGTTTGCTAGTTTAATTGCACAGGCATGTTAGCCCTGACAGTTCATCAATAAAGGGATTTAAAGGGAATGTGCAAAGGAATTTGGAATTCCTGCCGTTTATTAGACTTCTCACAAGAGACTTCATTTTATTTTCCGTGCTGTATTTTAAATGAGTAAGTACAATGATTAGAGGCTTTTGCCTGTTTATTATTTGAATAGTAGTGATAACATGAACATGGTAAAAATGAAGATATATTACAAAAAGATATTTAGCGAAAGGAAGTCTCTCTGTCTCAGGACTGCTCAGAAGTAAATACTGTCAGCAGATTCATGGTATGTTTCTAGAATGTAAATACTTCTCTATAAAAGAATGAATGATTGTGACCATGCACATTGTTTCTCATCTTGCAGATCTTGGAGCTCTTCCATATCAGTAAATATGGTGTTGCCTCATTCTTGTTAATATTCAGTTATCTGAGAAGCCCACAGTTTAGTCATTCCCACCCTGATGGACATTAAGGTTTTTGTATCTTTTGCTATAATGATCATTACTGTATGAAAATCCTTGTACGCTTTTCTTTTCGCACATTCATAAGTGTATCTATAGGAAAAATTCCTAGCAGTGGATTGGTGGACAAATATTTATTTTAAATTTTGATAGATATCACCAAATTATGTTAATTTACACTCCCACCCTGGCCAAGGCTGTTCTTTCGTATCCTAACTACACCGTGTGCCGGTGTTCTTTTTTATTTGCAGTATAAGTAGAAAATCTTCTATCGTTGTAGTTTAATATGCATTTCTCTCAGCGTGAAGTTGAATTCAGAGATAAACAATATTGTACTCTTGTTGAGGAATGTCCGTATGACTCTGATTCTTTGAAATTTGTTGAGGTTTGTTGGAAATCTGGAGCATTGATAATTTTATAAATGCTCTGTAAGCTTAAAAAGGTATGCATTCTATTCATTGGGAGTAGGGTTTTATATGTCTGTAG